GTTGAAGCGCATCAGGATAAACTTTCGATTCTATACAAAGAAGACGATGAGATAACCCTCTTGCATTATGCCGTTTGGCATGGGTTCACTGATGCGGTGAAGTATCTGGTTAAACGTGGTGCTGACATACGTCTAACACATAAAAATGGTTATACTCCCTTAATGCTTTCGTTAGAGGGGGCACCGTATAATGGCCATCATGCTTCGTATCGCTGCTACACAACAGACGATGGTCTTTTTAGTTCCTGTAACACTACATGCCACGATGAGACTGCAAGTTACCTAATTCAGTCGCAAAAAGCAAGTATCTCAAAATGTGATCACAGAACTGCATTTATGTTAAAAACAGTTATTAGAAAGCGAATGCCTATGAGCTTATACGCTTTGTTGGATATTGGTATCAATTGGAACTGCCGATTTAATGATGATCCAACCACGATGTTACTCCACTTAAGTGTTGGAAGCCCGGAAATTACGGAAGTACTAAAAATATTTGCTGTTGACGTCTCGGTAAAATGTGGAGTTTCTGATTCAAAGTCCGAAATGCATCAAATGTTCCTTTTTCCAACACCATATGAATTTGGCAATTTCTTTAAGTCCTCGCGTAATGGAAAACGTTTCCCTTTACAAAGATTGATCGACCGTCATCCAAGAGGTGTTCGATTATTGAACGAATGTTACGATGCCAATCAGAGATTACCATTACACTATGCCATCCAAGGCGGAAATCTTGATGCTCTAAAATGGCTTAAGAATATTGGAGCTAACGCCCTTCTAAATCCACGTGACATCGTCGCTGCTAGGGATATTTCTGTATACGCTTTAGGGGATTATAAATGTGCTACAAAATATTCGTATTTGTTAAACGAACTTGTTCCGTCGAATGCGAAATATCGAGTAGAATGTTTCGAAGAAGTGTTGCGAGCATTTTTCGACTCGTCACATAAGAATTACAGCTCAAACGTCTCTTCTATTTCATTTGACATATTCCGAAATTCTGCGTCTCCTGTTTTATTTTTGGCAAGTGAAGTTGGAGCAAGCGTGGTGAAAATTGTGTACGAAAAGGCTTTGCAAATCATACCAAGTTTAAAGATAAATAAATATTTGCTTCTTGATGAACAAGATAAAAACGGAAATACACCTCTTAATTATGCAGCGTCTCGTGGTTTTGAGGATGCTGTCAAGTATCTTGTACAAATTGGAGCTGATATCAATATTAAGAACAAGTTCAATAATACTCCACTATTGACTGCACTGCTGGCTGCTCCTCTTGATGTCATTAAGTCCCACTTGAAACACCGCTGCTACACTACAAATGACGGCGTGTTCACGTCTTGCGAAACCACGCCCTACGATGAAATCGTAAGGTACTTAATCTCGTCAAAAAAATAAAAAATCTCTAGATGCGACGAAGAAAATGCATATTTATTATCTCTCCTGATTATAAAACGTATGCCGCTGAGCTTGTATGCCCTTTTAAAGAATGGTGTTGATGTAAACTGTCAACTTTCAAATCAAACGTTGTCCAACTTTTTGTTACATGTTAAATACTGGGGCAAACAAGTTAGTGAAGTGTTAAAAATATTTGAAGTAAATGTTTCTGTCCAATGCGACATCCCATTCACTTTCTCGGATCTTCATTTCATCTCCAGCATACCAGTAACTGATGAATTTGGCAATTTTTTCGAACCTTCTCAAAGAAGTAAGCGATCTCCTTTACAGAGATTGATTGACGATCATCCTAGAGGATTTCGCATATTTGACGAATGTTATGATGCTGAAGGGTATTTACCGATACACCGGGCCGCCGAAGGCGGAAATCTTGATGCCATAAAATGGTTTAAACACGTTGGAGCAAACTTGCAACTGGAAACAAAACGTGGTCTCACTGCCCTTCACATTTCTATATTAAATTTGGAAAAGGATAAAAAGATGATTGGTAGAAAATATCGTCGAGAGGTGTTTCAATTATTGATGCAAACATTTTTTGACACAAATCCACAACCAGAGTTACCGTGCGGTCATGCGTTGAAAGGATTATCTTTCCTCCATATTGCAGCTGTCAAAGGGATTGCTGTGCTTAAGTACGTGCATAAAAAAGCTACAGAAGTGTTTCCGACGTTGCCGATAAACTGTGTCAATGAAGATGGATTAGATCCGGTTTATTTGGTTCATTTTTATGAAAGTGTAATGAGTGAAGGGTTTATTGAAGAAAAGCTGCACTGGGAAAGTTTTAATATTCCTTTAACAGACTTGATAACATCCATAAAGAATAGTCAAGGATGGTACAATTTAGTACTAGACAAAATTTCAAAGGGAGCAAAAAAACATAGGAAAAGACACAGGAAAAACGCGGAATCAGTAATCGGTGTGCCGCCTGCTCAATATCCAAATCTTGAAATAATGTTTATTTTAGTATTCCATTACTTGTACCATCAACCAATTGCTCAGTCTTCTGTAGTAAATTCCCTATCGCAAAATGAACATTTCCGTATAAGAGATTGTCGAGGTTATTATGACAACTTTCCAAAACTAGAAGATGCCGAATTTGTGCCCGATTTGGCTGATTTTTCAGAATGTTTAAAAAAACGTAGCCGTTTATCTCGGTTACTCTGCAAAGCGGAAGGACTTAAAAAAAAGTTAGAGCACAGTTGTTACCAAATAAGGAAAATACTTAAGTTAGTTTTACTGTGGCGACGAAAGAGCAACCGTCAACTGAGTAGCTTTATGTTAAAAAGCTTAGGCTGGAACGATGGCTATCAAAAGGAGAATATCGATTACCGCTGGCCATATTACTTTCTTTACAAAATGCATGTGAAAAAATATGAGAAATTTCAATATCTTACCGTTTTAAATGAAACGTTGGAATACGTGCTGCCTGCTTCTTTGAAAACGGCCAAATGACTTGACACGTTTTCTTCGCTACTTCTCAAATGAAATTAACTTCCCCACTAACTCACTATTATAAAAAGTTAGTAAAATTACTTTTTATTGGTAAAAAAAGTTTATCAATACATTAAGTTCATTTACCATATGTCAAAACAGGTATCCCAAACTCGTGTTTTCAAATCAGTCATATATTCGATAATTCATGATATATTTTTATGTGTATGTATATGTATATATCACTCCCCGTGTATCATAAAGAACGAAGTAGTAAGTGTAAATAATTAATTTTTTTGTCTTTTTGAATTTAATCATTATTCACTGAAGTTCTTTACTTATAACTGGAAAACATGAATGCAGCATCCCCTCGCCATTTTAAATGAAGCATAATATTTCCTGAGCTAGCCAGACCTTACCGGCACTAAGTGAAATTACTTATTAAATAAGCCGATAGCTGTTGTTTCAAATTTTTCGGAAACAAACACAGCCGTAAAAGTGAAGTAACGTCATATAAACATCAATTGGTGTTTGTTCATCGACCCGTTTTCCTGCTGTATAAACCTGCATTTCTTCACAGTTTATGCGAGAGTTAATAGTTTTTTTACTTATGATAGCTAAATCCTCAAAACAGCACAAATTAGATTCCCAAGCACTAAACGTCGAATGTCGTTTTTCGATTACTGAATTTATGCAATGATTGCAGTCGACTTTATAAAAGCTTTAAAGTGATCTTTTTTTATCAAAATTCCGAATTTTATGCACTTTCAATAACTCTTTTTAAAGTTTAAGCGATGATGTAGAACCTTAAATAGTAGAAAATGCAGAACCTTAGGTCTTCGCAAAACGACATATCAAGGCCCATACTTATGAAAATAAAATGGGAAACTCGCCTATAGACGGGATGGCGTGTTTATATGGAGTTCAATTTGCAGTGCAAGTTCGTTCAACGGCATGTTTTATTGTAGAAAACGAATATGCCAATATATACACATGCTCCAAATGTATATTTATCGCGAATCATCCCGGCCAAGCGGGATGGAGTGTTTATATGGCAATTTCCCGTCTCATCGCCGGGATCCCGGCACTTCTTCCCAGGCACTTCTTGCCGGAATCCCGCCTACGCGGGATGGAAAAGTGGTCATATAAACACTAATTAGTGTTTGTATTTTAAGAGGGATTTCGGAAACTGTCCCGTCCCGGCTAGGCGGGATCATATAAAGAGGCCCTTAGCCAATCCGGAAGTTGTAGGTTACTGTTCTTTTACTTCTTTACTCATTCAAATTTGATTCAACGTGCAAGGTCCATGACATAGGATTTGGGCAACTTTGGATTCCGCTATATGTTCTGTCACATACCCAATGTCATCCTGAATCTCTGGGCGGAATTAGTACCTTCGCACGGCGCTCCGCACCGGCTGGGGGATTAAATTACTTTTTCCGCCGTTAATGCTTTGAAACGGACTTAAGGTGGCTCCCTACACAGTTCTTAAGTTCTGCATGCTCAAAATTTTTAACTGCACATTTTAAACAGGGATGTTCAGCATCTAAACGGCTAGAAGACTAAAATTTCATATACCTTTCTGGCAACATCGCTAGAACGAAATCTACTCAGAACTTGTGTTTGCTAGTCGTTGCTATAACAACAGAGACGTTTCAAAATGGCCGCTAAACAGAATTTAATCGAGTTTATTTCGCAAACAAGTTCGGTGATTTTTTTTCATCAAAATTTGACACTAGAGTCAAAGATGCTTTATCGTGAAGTTTTAAAAAAATTGCGATAGTGCAATTTTTGAAAGGGCTAAAATAACGTTTTTTGCAATAGAAAAATCGCACTAGACAAAATATTTTTAAAACTTCACTATTGATTAATCATCTATAGCGCAAAATTTTGTTGAAAAAATATTGAGGTCACCGAACTTGTTTGCAATATAAACTCGATTCAAACCATAGTAATATACGAGGTTAAGCCCCGTTTACACTACAGTCAATTTATTGGCACGGCACGGCTAAATGGGTACCCATGCCCAATTTTATTAGTGTTCACGCCATGCACGAATGAAATGGGCACGGGTACCGACTTTTGCCGTGCCGTGCCAGTAAATCGAGTGCAGTGAAAACGGGGCTTTAGTTTACCGGCGTAGTTCACCAATAATTGTGGTATTATAAAGCTGTAATAGGCTCGGTGTTATATATAATGTACAGTATCAGTGAAATGGTATATCACAGTTCTTCAAATTTTAAAACATACAGCCCTATAGTTATGCACTGCCAAGTGAAATATCCTGTTTATAAAAAAATAATATAACATGCCAAAACTAGAGTTGCAAATACTGTATTCTATATATACCGTTAATTTCACGTGATAACTAATTATTTAAAAAATTTAGATTTTCTCTCGATGACCTTGAGAGAAATAACCTTCTCTTGATGACCTTGGTAGAAACATTAACGGGAATATATTATTTCGGATTGTAATTTTATTTATTTTATTTATTCAACCTGCCTTTCCTAAAATTAACTAATCACGATAAAGTCTGCAACAGGGACTACAAAACAAAGTGGTTATTTTTAGCAATTTTTTTGTATCATGCAAATTAGTGGTCCCCTGGTCTGCAATAAAATATATTGTCGTTTATTTTTCATGATCAGATTCATAAATTCGTGATTTTCATATTGTAAACTTGCCCAAAACAGGATTATATTGTAAACTTCCCAAAAATCGTGCCGACGTACAAAATGGAGCTCATAAATAGAAAAAGAACGTGATCATGCATTAGAGTTGTATAAGTATTACACTTGCAGATGCTGCAGGTATGTAACCTACACAATATGGGTATATAAATAATACAATATAGAATAAATTATTTCTTGCATAATACTTATCGCAATGCAGTAAACACGTAACCTATCTGTTGGAACAATGCTCATAGTTCTTTTAACAATAACGCAATGAACTGATATTATTTATATATAATATATTATCAATATAACTACCTCCTCCGCGGGCGCTAGGGAGCATTTCGGGCGATTTCGGAAAATGCGGGTTCCACCTGCAAAATATCATCGCCCGCCATATTTGCCCGGAAAAAGGCCTCCGCAGGAGGTAGTCAATATAATATTATTTTATAATTTGTTAGATATATTAATATACTGTACTATCCCCAATAGTAGAATGTGTAATTTCAATGACAGTACACTGTGATTATTTTTCTCTTCGGCAAAGCTGCGATATTATGGTCAGCAAACGTCCTTTCCATGGAAATCATGAAATACACTCACAAACGGAAATATAGTAAATGCACCTATGACAGATCCAATTTGAATACTCATCCCACACCAGTACAGCGCCCTTTTACTTTCTTCGCGCATAATAATTGATATCGTCAGACGAATATAAATGCCAAGCATGCTTGTTGTTAATCCTCCAATAACCTAGAAAACGATTTTATAATACATATACCATTTATAGTACGTGCGTGCTGATTGGTCGAGAAGTGTGTTTCTATAACTGTACAGAAACACGGAAATTTTCCCGCCGATATTGACAAGCGAAGTAATGTAATGAGAATTTGTAATTGAATAGAATTTAAAATTTTGTTCAAATTTTTTTTATTCAAATAAATATATTCTAAAAGAAAATAGACAAAATAACTTCCTGTACTCGAAATAACTCAGAATAACTCGTTTTCCCAACGATTTTTTCTTATTCTGGAAGAATAACTTCAATTAACTAATTGTTATTAATTGCCAATATAACCAAGGAGCAGCGTGGCAGCATCCTCAAACAACATCATACTAACTCTCCTGACGAAGGTCCTCAGTTCGAAACGTCAAGAAGTTTTTTGTCTATTTCAGGCAGTTGTTATACCACATTTGATGCTAAGTTGTTAATTAATTGTTTTAGTATAAATTTCGAGTTGTTTACAAAAATATTTCCAATCAACACAACAAATCAACATTTGAAATTTATTTTTTCAAATAGTATAGCAACAAAAAGCTATAGCAACATGACTATCACTTCAGAGACAGTGAATCTTGACCAATGTACGAAAATCAATAGTCAACTTTAAATTTATACCAAAAACTGTATAGAAACTTGGAAAATGTTTCCTATTTCTTAAATGTAAATTGTTGTTCTCGTTGTGGCTTTAAGCCCTGTGAAAAACTGGAAAAAATTATACTCACTGCAAGTGTCGCTCCAGTATCAGATTTACTCAGCCAGGGTGTTGGGCTTTGACTTGCTAGTATAACTTGATACACAGCAGCACACAAAAATACAAATGATGCAATAAGAAGTGTTTTTCTTGATTTGATTCGAAACCATATCGTAAAAAAGCAGATAAATGAGGAGGCAATTGGTCCCAGTGAAGCAACTAAAATAATAGGATAAAAAACCTTAAAACATAAATAATAAAACCAAAGGGCTTCAGTTTTTGTCATGCAATGATTGTGATGCAAATTGTTTGCAAATTATATCTTTTCTTTCATTGCATTCCTTTGGCTTTGAACTATTATTTCATAAAATATTCATATATACAAGTTTGGAAGGCAAGTGTACAATTAAATCAGTCTAAGGCTCTAATCATTTCATAAATGGTTTTTGAAGCGGCAATAAATTGTCTCATACAAAGCAATATTATACCAATAAATCATTGATATCTTAACATATAAGTATTAAGATAGGACAGCATGTTTATAACCCTAAACTAGAAATTGTGCCCGATTAGGAATTGACGTGCCAAACTAGCAATGGTATGTACACTTTCTTTAAACAATCACTCTGTGTGAAATGAGTGTTTATGAAATGTCAGTAATAATCATGTCTATGCTGTACTATTTAGCTGCATTCTAAAACTGTTACTTGGGACAAATTGTTACATTTACTGCATACATAAAGTACAGGAGTTAGAGTAGACCTGATTACCCTTTTCTGGGCATATTTTCTGGACCCAAATTTATATAGTGAAGGTGTTATTGATATGAATTGTGCAAAAATTTTATGTTATATTCATTACCTAAATGATAAGAGGGCATTCCATAAGGCTCAAAGGCATAAGGTGATAATGATGGAAGAATGCCAAAGGAAAAAGCTGACACAATTGCTTGTAAGAAAAACAGAAATGATAGTCCTCTGTTTGACAGGCATGAACTCCCACATTTAACTTCAGTTTCCAGCTCCTCGTTTATCAACTCTGTCCTGTCAGTGGCATCATTACAATGTTGAGGTACAACAGCAGCTGTTATCACTTCTGCTGATTGTTCTTTCACAGCAAATGGTAGAAAATTCAGAGCAAAAAATGCAGATCCAGAAAACAAAATCATTACCAGCAAAATGATGAAGTAGGCACTGGCTGAAAACAACAACCCAGAATCATCATATTGTTGCGATGTTGAGTTTCCAGAGGTGGCATCACTGCTATTGTTGCACACAATGGTTGGTGATCCTTGAATTATAGCCGCAAGACCAGGCAACAGGCCACAGAAGGACTCGCCAATATACAAGGCTGTGACGTACCGTGGGTCATAAAATGCCATGAATGTGAGAAAAACAACAGATGATGTACAGTCAACCAATGCCATGGTAAAAACTAGAACCATCAAGACAACACTATGGGGTTTGCCATCTATATTTGTTGTCGTTCTGTACCACATGGAGAGGAACAAACACGATAAAATGCCAATGAGAAAGATCAAATATATCGTCACTTTCTCGGTGAAAACCCGTGGACGAAGTCGATTTGCAAGCGAGAAGAGCAAGGGACCAGCAAATCCCAGTTGAATGATTACCACTGTGTATGATGCGATTTTCCATTTCTCAGGGGCATAAAGCACGATGACTGGCAATTCAGACCAGATACCATTGACTGTAATCCACGAACTCAACGCAAAGCAAGCAATCAATCCGTATGTCCGCCAGGATATATCAGTATTTACTAAAGCGTTCTTTGCATCACGGCAGCTTTCAACCAAACGCTCCATCATACGCGTGCAATATTGAGAAAATAACATGATTGCAGCAGTTAATTTATATCTACACAAATTCTGGCATTTAAAATAGCGTAAAACATATACCCACGGGAATATTCAATGATTAAATTTTCATTGAATCATACCTAATGACAATTTCAACAATAAATCTTCTCTGTCTTTTTATTAGAACCGGAAGTAGATTAAATTTGACTAAATTGTTAAGAAAATATCCTTAAAAGAAGGAGTTTTGCGAAGTATCTGCAAATAATTCAAATAGTAGTATTTTTTCAGGGTACTCGCAAAGAAAGATATCAATTTGGGGGCCTTTCTCCAAGGTTTACACCTCTTTTTAGCTGTTCTACCATAATGAGGTGGGAAATTCCTCTGTAGTGCCTACTGCCGCCGCAGAGAGCTTTACAACAAATGTCATGACATTTACTTATTGAAATGAGTGATCTTTATTTATTAGTTGAAACCTGGCTGCACTTATTGTCATCATTCTTGTTTGTTTAAGTTAAGAGGCTGGAGGCATGATCACCAGGCTCCAGATAAGGCACTAAAGGCAGATATTTTAATACCTTAAAAGATTAAAAAAAGCTTGTGGTATCGCCATCCTGTAGGAAATCGATAACTTGGAAAACCGTTGGAAAACTAAGGAAAATTTCAGAAAGAACTACAGAGATACAATAAGCTACCGACTGGTAGAAAATTGAAACAATGCCAAATGCCCAAATCAAATGAAAATGTTTATATTTTAACCACAAATTACAACAAATATTATTGTTTCCAAATGTAAACACATGACTTTTTAATACGTAACATGGCTAGGTTTACATTCAAACGTATGTGCAGGAGTATTGGAATTATTGTTCTTCTTGTTTTCATATACTCGTGGTTATCATTTGATGAAGAGAACAACATAGAATATTCAGAAGCTATGAAATCTAAAACGATGTTGGTGGATGATTTTTGGGTGCCAGAGAAGGGTTTATTGAGGAGTACAGGACCGGGTGATCATGGAAGCCCTGTTTACACCAGTGATAAAGAGGAAAAGCTAATGCAAAAATCCTACATGGAGTATGGATTTAACCAATTCATCAGTGACAAGATATCTCTTAACAGAACGATTCCAGATACAAGACCAAAGCAGTAAGTATAGTCACAGCTATTTAGAAGCTTTTAATTAGAGTGCCTTCCCTCCAGATAACTAATTAAGCCAGCATCCATAATTGGGGCCCATATTACCAAATTCATGTTAATTACTGTAAAGACAATTGATTTCAAAAGGAATTGGTCACACACAACATAAATATATAAATACCCCCCCCCCCCCCTAATTATCCATGACAGTTAGTGCTACACCACTGCACTAAAAAATAAGACTGTGTGTGTAGGGTATATTAACTGATTAATAATTTGACCAAGCGTGAGGTCTGTACTGTGAAATATCAGACTAATTGCCCCTTTTTTACTTGATCCATACTGTACTAAAAGCCTCTGTCTGGTATTTCACAGTACGGACCGAACAAGCGAGGTCAATAATCGGTTTAATATATATATATATATATATATAAGTTGTAAATTCAGCTAATTTTAGTAGAGCAAAGCAGGCCACAAATTACTGAGTGCCCCAGCAGTTGCATTGCACACTGAAATTAGGTCAATGTTATTGAAAAGAATATGATAGTTGGAAGAAGCCTGTCAATGTAAATATAAATCTCTTTTGGGTCCATTGATAATCCCTGTGTAGTTTCATGCACCCACACCTCAGGTGTTGTGATAATTCTATACTCAGTATATGGTTGCATGGTGACTATATATACAATACCTTAAGTATTGTAACTAGGTGACTATATATATACAATACCTTATTGTCGAGGGGCTAATATTGGTATTGATGGAATGGCTGTGTTCTTTAAGATATACATATAAGGTAAATAGAAAGAGATTATTCTATTATACCAACCTACTTTAAAATTTTTAAATTTAAAAATATCTACTCTGAAGGTTTTGTCACTTTCAAGAGGAAGTTTTTTAATGATTGTTTATGCAGTGATTATATGCATACTGCAATGTACAGTATATATACGTATGGGATACAGTAAAAATTATAGAATACAATACATCTTAAACCATGAAATATTCCTACAGCTAGAGGTAGATTATGTACATCACTTTCTATGCATTGATCAATATTTCTGCATACTCTTGCAGTGAGAATGGAAGGCCCATTTATATATTATAGATATACATTGCCAAAATGTTTAGCTAGATTCATGAAACACTAGCTCATATTTTTTTGAAGCAATTTATAAAGCAAACCAAAGTTTGCTATTTCACAAAATTCAAGATGTAAAAAATCAAATATTTTGTTATCATTACAATTATTGTACATGCAGTAACTCAATCTCAACTAATATATAGCTTTACTGAAATTAATCCAGATATTCTGTAGATTAGTATAATTACAGTGTCTATATATGTATATATATATATATATATATAATATTATATTATATTATATATATATATATTATATATAAATATATATATAAATATATTTAATATATATATATTATATATTATTATATATATTATTATATATATATTATATTATATATATATTATTGAGCATTGCACAAATAATTGTCAAACATATACTGCATAACTTTTTAACGAAAGAAGAAATTTCTGTCAAAAGTATTTATATACTACAATGAAACACGCAATTTGATTGGTTCGCATGCGTGCAGTATGAGAATCCTGCACGCAAATTTTACAATGCCGCTTTGCGCGGGAAATTTGACCGTCGTTTCATTGTAGTTATTTTATAAAGAAAATACTAGATGGTTTTCCGTGACGGATTGCGTGATACTGCACGGGACTTTCGGAAAGCGTGAAAAAAGTCTCGCAATTTCCCGCGTGCAGTATATAACGCAATCCTGCACGGAAAACCATTTAGTATTCCTTTAATAGTTTACTAGTGGTGTAAAAGCAATAGGGTTTTAAGTAACATATTTTCATACAATTTTTATGTGTTTTTTTAGATGTAAGCAACGTCGATATTATAAAAAATTGTTGAAAGCTTCTGTGGTAATTATTTTTCATAATGAGGGATGGTCAACCCTGATGAGAACAGTCAATAGTGTTTTGAACAGATCACCGCCCTGGATGCTAAAAGAAATTGTATTAGTGGATGATTTTAGCACCAAAGGTAGAATATTTCAATTACTTATATCCGAACCCGAATCAATTTTTCAATTCCCTTTGCTTATATTTTTGGAGGACTAGAGTGAGCACCACTTGAGTGATGCAAATGCAGTTGTGATACATACACCTGTGTGACATATATACATGCGCAGGGCCTTAGCTAGACCGCTTAATTGGGGGGACCCGGGTTACATTCATATATTCATGTTTACATATCATAGGAATAATAGCATACAAAAGCAATCAGTCGGACATAAGACGGATATATGAATATCCCCCCCCGCCCAATTAAGCTTTTAGCCACAGCCCTGTGCATGTGGTATGATAATTTTATAGGCATCTTGCCTATCGCAAATCGACCAACTTCATTTGATGATACCCGGCCTCCCTGTTACTGGCAGTTATAAGTTTAAAAAAGATTGAATTGAATATCGATCAAGCCACTCGCTTACATCTATAAAAATGGAAGTCACGCTCTAATTTTACGCATTAAATTTCTGTTTCAGATCACCTGGGATTACGTTTAGAGTCTCATGTGAACAATCTACAAAAAGTACGTTTGATCAGATCGAAAGAACGCCTGGGGTTAATTCGAGCGCGAATGCTTGGGGCATCCAGAGTTCGTGGGGACGTCGTCATTGTTCTTGATTCCCACTGCGAGGTGAACCAGGGCTGGTTGCCGCCTCTACTAGAGCCAATAACTTTAGACAGACATGTGGTGACTTGTCCCATTATTGATTCCATCGATCACAACACATTCGCTTATCAACCGATGGGTTCGTATATACGAGGGACGTTTAATTGGAGGTTTGATTACAAGGAACGGAGTATTACTGCAGAACAACGAAAGCGGAGAAAAGACACGACACAAGAAGTCTGGTAACTAATATATATAGTTTATATTTCGTTTTTCATTAAGAACAAATGCAACTTTGTTAATGTTCCGCGCGCTATTTAGAGTAGTTAGCTAGCGCGAGCGAACGATTGTCAGCGCGCGCTCACGATTGTCAGCGCGCGGTCACGATTGTCAGCGCGCGGTCACGATTGTCAGCGCGAGATCGCGATTGTCAGCACGCGCTAAGTGCTTTTAGTATACACCCGACTATCGTCTATTACAAATCTTACATTCTGATTGGCTACTCAACCATTGTCTATTCGTAATGGTGCACGCTTGGGAAAAATTTCGCTCGCGCGACCGTATAAAATTAAATTATTTTTCGGTGTAATTGCGGTGTATCGATTATTTTCTCGAAATTAATATACCTAGGTACAGGGTGCATACTAAAACAATTAGACAACTCTCCTTCGTTGTCTATGAGCGAATAGTCAACTCAGGCTTCGCCTTCGTTGACTATTCGCTCATAGACAACTCAGACTCGTTGTCTAATTGTTAAATATACGCAATATTTCAACCGTGTTTAAATTTTTTATTTTTCAACTGTCGCAAAGTGGACTGAAGATGATTTATATAGCCTTTCTCACGATGACGAATACGCTGCCATTTTGGGGCTATTTTTTTTAAAAAAAGTACTTTTTTTAGGCCCTTTATTCTTCAAATGGTCTGTTGATTCTAAAAAATTGCGCCTCATGGTGTTATAATTTTTTAAACCCATTTCAGAAAACTGAAAGTACCTAAAAACGTCATCGTCAGAAAGGCTACTTAAATCGAAACTAGTATCCACAATGATACTAGTGGTTTTAATGCGTAGAAAGACAAATTTATTAAGATTTACCTTGGATGACGAATAAATATAATGAATGGGACGTCTGCATTATACAGGCTGTCCCGAAAAGAATGAAACCCACATAAAGTTTACGTATTCGCTGTAATGAATTGTTAACTATCACCACTAATGATTAGTATGATCACTCACAAATAGTAGATGTAACTGCGATTTCCAGTTGAGCGGGTTTGCGAAAGTTTGTTCGTTACGTTTTGTAGTTT